TTATTTAGAAATTCACATAAGTTATTCTCTTACTACAAAGGATTTTTGTACTACGTTTGTATTATTCAAGTATTTTTATACTGTTTTTTTAAAAATATCTGCATTTTAAGTACATGTATCCTATAGACCTTACACGTATGGACTGGTAATACAGATATGATTGATGGATGCCACGGAAGGTTGGAGAGAGAAACATCTCTCTTTTTTTAAAAGTATCCGGAAATACGTTTTGCGCATGCTTGACATACTATACATTAATGCATTCTTATGGTGTATACTTATGCAAGTTAAAGAAAAGTTTGAGGTTATTGCGGAGTATCGTATTTGCGGAATATCGATAGGAATATCACATTATATTTCTAAAAAGAAATAATGGTTCGAAAGTGTGTTTTGTAGAGTGAATTATTCTGCAGAAAATATTTCTTTTCATTCGTAATAGGGTGCATTCGTTTATGCAATCACTAGACCGCAGATGTTGTTTGTTTACTCTGTCTGCGAAAGTGACTGTCATTTCGAACTCATGTGTAATACATATTTCCGGACATCTTAAGAAAAAGAAATATTAAAAAGTACATTTCTCTCTCTGTCTAATCTCCCGCGGACACTGTTTCTTATGCAGAAACTATAGCAATTGCCAGTCCATATCTTATAAGGTCTATGATGTAACCATATATGATTGTTTTGTGTTTGAATAGCGCGGGTGTATTTTGATCCAAATTTTATTGGCTCCGCTTATCGTGCCGCCATTGCTATACGCATGGCACCTTTCTTTTTACATCATAAACCTTACAATTTACTTTAGTTCGCACTCCATCACCAGAGGGCAGTGTCTTATCTTTTATTGCCCATCTTATGTACAGAGTTTTCATTTCTCTTATGCTTGTTTCCTCCAACGTTCAAAATTTGAATCGAGTTTAAATTTCCGATCAATGACATTTTGCGTTCCATCAAGTTTGTGGCGGTCCCCCGCTTACACAACTAATACCTAGCAAAGCATCCACGAAAAGTACCATAGCCGCATAGCGCAGTGGTAGCGCGCCAGTCTTAGATACCTGAGGACTTAGGTTTGAATCTCACCGCAGCCAACATCTTTTTCCGTCATCAAATTCAACACAACGCTCCTCATCAACGCCACAAGTTTTTATATACAAGTTCAAGTCAGGTAAACGATGCATTCTGAACGCCCATTTTTGACCGATTAACAAGTTTGAACGGCGTTTAAGCAGAAGACAACGCAAAACGTATGTGTATATATCAGTATTTGAGGGTATTTTAGTATATTATTTTATTAAATAAACTATATTCATCGTTGAATAATTAAAAGCTAGTACAGTAAATAAATAAAGTAACATTTATGACAAATTAATTTATCATTTATTTATGACAAATAAATTTTCTTTTGATCATATTTCTATCGCAAAACAAGTAAACATTAAGACTTTTATTTGATAATTATATGTAAGGCTATGAGTACAACAGTAGTTTATAATAAATGTAAGTAACCCTGGTTTTATCTTTGATTATTCAAAAATATACTTATGATAATAGGAAAATTAAAAT